ACTATAGACGAGCAAGCTAAAGGTTCCTTAGTTGTTAGATTTTCATATGATCCATACTGATTTGCTTTCCTCCTTGTTTAATGATGTAATTATTTCGAAATCAATGATTCATAAATCTTGTTTGTAAGCTTATTTATTTATATAATAACAATAATAATTAATACTTTTTATAATCGCATTTCGAAAATAAATAGTATTTTTTTTCAATAGCATTTTTACTATGTTGAATTATAAATTAGAAAAATAAAATAAGATTTTCTGATTTTTAACTTTGAAACTCCCTAATATTCTTGAAAAAGCAATCGATGAACTGTTGGAACTATTGCAAATAATTAAATTAGATCGATTAGATCAATATCTTACTATTCGTGAAAAAACTCCCAAAATTTATGAGAACAGCTATAAGATGGGCAATTTAGATACCCATGTAAATCGCATTTATTGCAAGATGTATTATAGTATAGTGTCTATTTCTTAAAGAGTATGGTACCATCTGAGATAATTTTTTTAATCAGAACTATCATTAAAAAACAAGTATACACAATAAATACGCTACCAAATTAGATTCTTAAGGAGTTAAATGAATCGATTTACAGATTTTTTGCCTGTTACTCACTTAAATTTGAAGTGTTATTAAATTGATATCCAGTTTTATTCTGTATTCAAATTCACTAAAAAAAAAAAAAAATTTTTTTTAAAAAAAAAAAATCCATGTGGCCGTGTTACTAATTTGAGCTGATGTTATGAAAATCAACTATATAAGTTTGTATGGCCTTATCAGCTCACTATATTAAATTTTCAAAAATTCTAGCAAGATTTGTTGCTTCAGAAAATAAATTAGCAGATTCATATTCTGGTCAAGTTTAATTCTACTTTGATCATACTATCTATTTTTCTTCTAGTGAACAAATATATCATTTTGCATTTGTAAGATAGTATAAACTTGCTAAAAATTATAAAACAAGATTCTATATAAAATTAAAGGTGATGATCTTAGTTGTAATATAGAGTTATAAGATCAAGAATTTTATAAGTTAAGCAAGAACTATATATTTTCTATATATTAGAGATATTTTTGGTTTATAGCAAGTATATATACTATTAATATTAAAAAGAATCTAAAAATCTATATAACTGTAATTTTTTTATATAGAAAGTACAATTTATAAATACTGATATTTAAGTAGTTTTTTATTTATATAGCAGTATATATTATTATATTTATATTAGTTTTATATCAGTTTTATAGTTTTTTTTATTTATATAAACACTAAATATATTTATTTAATTTGGTATTAATATTATAATTTTCAGTATTTTATTTATATTTTAATAAAATTATTTTATAAACTATAATCTTTTGCTTACCAACCTTATTATAAAATAATAATGAAGCTTACTTTACCAATAATCATTTCATCTTATAAAATTTCAGATAACTCTACTAACTTAATAAGCCTGCTAACTCAGATAACTCTGATAATAATAATTTGGATAATCCCAATAGCAATAATCTAAAGAATATCTCTGATAATAACTATAAAGCTATTGTTAAACTCTAGCATAATATATAATATATATATTCAAAATCAAAAAAACTAGTTACTATAAATAAAGATAATAATATTGTTAGTTTAATTATAACTAAGTAAACTAATTCTAGTTTTGAATTGACAAAAAAAATTTAGTTAATTAGCTACCTTTAGTTAACTAGCTGTCTTTAGTCAGCTAGTTGCCTTTAATAAATTTAGTAATATTATTAAAGGTAAGTTAAAAGAGATTAATAAAAAGGTAAATCAAAAGAAGTTGGTATATTTCAGCTAATTTTTATACTAATAATATATTAAAGAATTTTATCTTTTTTCACATATGCGATATATCCTACCCCCCTGTTACACAAATTGACATTATATAAACAGATAAGTATAGCTTTTTTTTTTAATTGGCTTTTTTCTTTTTTTTTTTTCTTTTTACTAACGGGGTTTTTTTATAGTATCGTTCCGTCCTTTCGGCGCGTCGTTGGATCGTCGCTTCTTCGTTTGCTTCTAGAGTCGCATTTGGTGTTTCGTCATGTTGGTAAGTGCAACCTTTTTTTTTTGTTACTGTATATTGTTCATCTTTTCTTTACTAACCAGCTTTTTTTGCATCACCGTTTGCTGGTGAAGTTGTATTCGGTATCGTTGTTTCCCGTGG